AGTATCAGATGTTAGTTAGTAAAAGGTAGGAAGGAAAAAAACACAGGCAGGGGTGGATTTACCATATAATATGTTGGTACTGTGTATCCCCAATATTCTGAGTGGGTGGAAAAGCTGTAGTTTTGGAACATTGGAAAATGGAGGGACAGTCCTATTCTCTTTCTCAGTCTGTGTCTCATACCTTGCACTCAATGCATCAGTATTGGATTTTTTGTTAGTTCTGAGCAGGATTTCTCAACCTTGGCAATTTTAAGATGTGTGGATTTCAACTCTCAGAATCCCCCAACCTCTGATTATGAAGAATAAGAAATATGTTTTATAAAGTGTTTCTTCTCTTTTAAGAATATATTTTGGTATTATACTGCCAGAATGCTCAGTCATCAAAGGAGTTACAGTTCCCAAGACAAGAAGAAGGGCACCAAATTGGAGTAGATGAATGACCACACACAAAGTGAATACACACAACCACACAACCTCATAGAAGTACACCTACATAATCCCATGCAAGGAGATTTCTTAATAAATTCCAGCTATGGGTATATCTGATATGAGCTACAAAATTCTGGATCAGTGGAGTCTAGATTGGTGGGATATCAAAAAGGCAAGATGGCAGGTGCATCACAATGAGAGTCCTACCTCTTTTGTACATGCGGATGTGCATGGAAAACAGACAGGACTTGCATTGCAATGTACCTTCTGCCATCTTGCCTTTTTAGACATGCACATGCCACCATGGCCCTGGATATCCATTGGGTCACTGATGGCAAACCGCAACATTTTGAGTCACACACGAGTGTTCATCAATGCCCAACAACAACTATTCTTAAAAACATACAAGATTCTTGTGTATTTTTCAGAGACTATGAAAGCCTCATGAGAATGGGGTGTGGTCTTGCATAGCCTATGGACGGTCTGCAAGTCATACGAAAGAGCTGTGCTCTTATATGGGCTCCAGAGCCTCCAGAAATCATGTGAGAACAGAGCATTTTCCGCAGCTGAAGGCCTCATATGATCTGAGTATCTTGTGTAGGGCACAGGGGTCTGTTAATAGAAAGAAAACATTGCCTAAAGGTAATGGGTATATAACAGATCCTGAGATCACTGGGACCTGGGGGAAATCTCATGCACCTTGGGAAACAGCTGTGACGGTGCTAAGACTGAAGTTGAGTTCCACCATTCAAAGGATTTGGGGGAGAGGGAAAAGGTGGGTGGGAGAAGGTTTGTTTAGAGACTCCAGTCCTAGTTCTAGCTGGGTACCTAATCTGTAAGGGAAAATAACATATAACAATTCTTTTGTAATCATCTCATTATAGGCCACGCACTTCTAGGAAATGCTTTCCCCATTCAAGAGGAATAGGATTTTCACTTTCCTCTGAAAGTATACTGCCTTTTGCAAAAGATAAATGACTTCACAAATGCTGAGACAGAGTTTATAGTTATATGTAGGTATGTTTTCCACAAGGACAAGAAAATTACAAGGTACAGATGAAAGATTAGCAACTTAAACCAAAGGGCCAGATTAATCAATAAAAGAATTTTGTTTAAAAACCTCTGAAAGAGCCAGGAACAAAGAATTTTGGACAGGATTTTCATATCCAAGTTTCAGATTGCTGGGGAAAAAATGCATGACATCAAATATGTTGCCCTCCCCCCAAAATACCTGAGACTCACCTATGCTCTGATCCAGGTTTCCTTTTTTTGCTGAAGTTGCAAAACAGAAACAGACAAAGCAGATATTAAGGAAAATCTCTTCATAAAGAGAATTTGGGAAAGGGCCCAGCTTCTAAAATTGGATTTATTATAAGATGGGGATTTCCCTTTCTCTCACCATCCCCAAAGGTTCTATTTATTAACTTTCTGCAAGTTTTGTCATTCTGCATGAGTTCTGAATAAACCCATGAGTATCTAAAGAACCAAGATTTCCTGAACATTGAGATGAAAAAAAAAAAGGCTTCAGAAGCTGTGGATCCTCTTTGAAAGAGATCCTCAGAGATGCATAAGGATTTTGCAGCATTGCTAAGTGACAAAGCATAAAACATTGACATGCAAAGTAGTCAATCACATTTGAGTCTAATTTTTGTACGAACCCAACCAATTATTCAGTTTTCAATACAGCATGTTTTGTAAATGCTAGAAATAGGATTAAAATCATGGATTTTAGTTATCCATGGGAAAGTGCAACATATAAACATAGTCAATCTAGAAGACTTTAGTTATTTAATTATTTAATATCCTACACACTTCTCCAAGAAGCTCAAGGAATTCTAACAATTAAGGGAAAACCATTTCATGAACATTAGGAATCAGAATGTGTGTCATATCTGATATTAATGGAAGGCTTAGTGCCATCTAGTGCTGGAAGGAACAAGAAGCTACCCTGCCAAAATGTAAGGGAAACATGACACTTAAGCCTTCCTCTGGATTCATCAGAGCAGACCTATATTTCATCCAATTGAAGACCAGTCAGGTACCACTATAATTTCTTTCCTTGCCCATGGTTCAGGGTAATTTCTTTTTAAGCAAAAGTTATTTGTGGATGCACGTAATATTGCTTTTGTATGGTTAGCACTAGTAATGAGCATTTATGAGATAATTCATTAGGAAGTTGTAGTTTGAAGGATCATCATACAGCAGGTGCTATAAGTGCCTAGAAGGGACTTTAAAAATGCCTAAGAATTTAGGAACCAACGGGGAGTTACATTTTGCAAATCTTCCTGAAAAACGCTTTAATCTGCATTTGACTAGTTACTGTGTAGATTGAGACATGGCTGTCCCATTTTATATTTCTCAACCATTGGAGGAAGAGAAGATTAAGCTGTTAAAATGGTTGTTCAAATATGGGAGGGGAAAGAATGACAAATACATCATTGCTGTAAATGCTCAAGGTCTTTTTAACATCCCTGGAGAGACCTGAAGGGGGGGGGATTTTAATTGAAATCTGCTGATCCAGCCCTCCTCCTTCCATTTCTCCACATTTTCCTCACTTCATGCTGGGTCAATTTTTTTTCTCCGTTGTTTTTGTCCTTTTAAGCCAGTAACCCAATATAATAGAATGTGTATAGAAACCCCACTAACTCATAGTATTGCATCCTTGCTTTCCTGACCAGAATGAAAAGTGTCCATCGATTCAATCATTTCAAATTCTGAAATATTGTATTTCTGGACAGAGCCTCCCTGTGAGGATTGAGGCCAGTGGGACTAAAGGCAAAAAGTTAAGATGATGGTTGCAACTATGTAATCAAATCCATCAACTTTTTGACACCCTCTCCCCTGTAATATCCTGCTTGAGGCAATTGCTGTCACTGTTGTTCCTAAAGGCTTTCCCAATCCCTATAAAATATCTTAGTTCACCTGCTAGGCAGCCATTTTGCCTTTGTCAAAAGAGACATTCCAGGGTACTCTTGCTTTGAGTGATTATTTACTGGGCTCACCAAAATGGCTAAATAAATTTAGTTGGCTTGGCAGACACCAAACAAGCAAGTCATAGAAGAAGCAGAGTGAATAGCAGATACAGCCAGATAGTTTTATCACCCCATAGTTCCTCCTCTTAAATGCTTCTCACTAAAAAAAAATTGTTCCTCAAAACAGTTGTTCTCTAAAGAGAAGAGCACACTGAAGCAAAGAACCTGGAAGGTTGATGGGAAGAAGGAAAGGAAATGGGTGTTCCTGCTTGGCCTACATTGCCTCTTACAGCTGGCTGCAGTTCAATATCAGGCTCAAGATATTACTGACAGAGCTGGGCAGCCATTCATATTTAAAAAGATCTGTGACACAGGAGCAGGCTGGTCTTTACATTAGGTGGGAGAAATTGGAGATGTCAGCTGTGGTTGTGATATCCTCAGCATTTCATTTTGTTCTATTTCATTCTGATATATGGGGTCTCCGCCTTAATTGTATCCTGAAGATCAGGAACACTGCTGCCTAAAAATGTCCAACAATTGGGGAATTTCTTCCTGATGGCCAGCAAAACTGCTGTCTTCCGATATTTGAGGGGCTGCCACAAAGAAGAGACAGTCAACCTATTCTCCAAAACACCTGAAGGCAGGACAAGAAGCAATGGATGGAAACTAATCAAGGAGAGAACCAACCCAGAACTAAGGAAAAATTTCCTGACAATGAGAACAATTAACCAGCGTTAATTGGCTTGCCTCACAAAGTTGTGGGTGCTTCATCACTGGGGTTTTTGAAGATGAGATTGGACAACCATTTCTCTGAAATGATTTAGGGCAGGGGTGTCAAACTCATGGCCCGCAAAATGGATGCATCACACACTGGCCATGCCTACCCCCAGTTTAGTGCAATTGATACCCTTAGTATAGGGTCTGCTTGGGCAGTGGGTTGGACTGGAGGACCTCCTTGGTCCCTTTCAACTTTGTTATTCTGTTATTCTTTCTGTGATCATGTATATCCATCCAATCAAGCCCAAAGAAAGTCCAGAATGATATAGGATGTCCTGCCGTGGTACGGAGTTGGACAAAAAGAGCTTTTTTATTCTATTCTATGCATTTCCCTCATGTGTTTGCATCATGATCTAATTGAGTGAGATGCTTCACTGCAGCCTTGTTGCATCTGCCCCCCCCCCTTAAGTTTTGGAACTGCCACTCCTGGAATTTTCCACTAGCAAACACATCTGGAAGTCAACAGCTGGAGGAAGGATGGAAACATTTTGGAAACAAAGATGATAGGTTGTTTGATTCTGTAGGTAATCTCTTAGTCTTCAAGCACAACTGCTCCTGTTGCCATGCCTTCCTTCTTTAATGGATGTGAATCATGTTTAGTGCAAAGAACATCATGCTCAATTGTATAGGGAGCCTCCTAAAGTCCAGCTCGCTTGCTCTCACACAAGGCGACAAGGCCAGGTAATCCTTTGACAGCAACTTTACAGAGGTCTAACCATTGTCAGATGCTACTGATGCAATAGATTTTGCTCTCTAAAGCAAGGGTGAGATGGCGTCCACCCTCCCCATTCCCTTTATTGAAGGCCATTTGACAGATAAGTGAGCCCTAATGAATTTGTATAAAATGAAATTTAGATTTATACTCTGTTTATCAGGCAGAAAGTCAAGGCTGGCAACTGAGTAGCATTCTTGCCTAAAGCTGATGGCAGCAATCTAGTTTGGGAGATAAAGGCTCTGTTTTCAATAGGCAGAACAGCTTGGGAAGCTAAAGTTCATCTAGACCAGCTCATTCCTATTGTCCCTTAGCATTTATTCCTCAGGTGATTGTTTCCCTTTGCTTCTAGGATCGACAGCCCAGCTGAGGAGAGGGAAATCAATTGCCCTTTCATGGGGCCTTTTCCAAGTCCTTCACTGCCTTCAGCCACCTACTCCAAATATATCTAATTGAAAAAACTTCATTTGGCATAGTGGGATGGGGGAGGGGATCCTTTCAGTTTTGATACAGTTTCCAAGGTAGAGGTTTCTCAAGGAGTGGAGTAGAAAAGGGAAGGATTCAAAGTCTCATTTGCTCCATCTGTGTGTGTGTGTGTGTGTGTGTGTGTGTGTGTGTGTGTTGTTAATATTAATGCTATCAGTTCTGGTTGCAGAAAACCAGATGAGCCCTTGATGTAGTAAAAAGATACAGAACACTCTAATTCTTTATTGCCATTTGATGATTATCTTGATTTATGCAACCCAGATCTGGTAACTCTATTAATGTGCATGCTCAAAACAATGGACCATTTAATATCATATCTGGCTTGCCCACAAGATGGCGACCATGAAAGTCTATTTATATTCTCTAGATATAAAGGGGTCTGTGTGTGTGTGTGTGTGTGTGTGTGTGTGTGTGTGTGTAGCCCTCTGTCTCAGCAAATTACTCTGGGCGGTTCATAATTTAAAACATATATTACAATTAAAATTAAAAAAACATTTTAAAACAAAACAGTAAAAAGCATTAAACAGTAAAAAATATTAAAATGTCTAATTCAAAATACATACAAAAACAAGGTATCTAGCCTATTAACAATACACTCAGGAGGCTGGGCCCTTGGCACATGTTGCGCTCCAGACTCGCAGGCATAGCCAGGTTTTTAGTGCGTTATGAAAGGCTAACAGGGTTGGGCCCATTCTAATCTCCAAAGGGAGGTTGTTCTACAGCGCAAGAGCCACTGCAAAAAAACCTTGTCTTTTAGTCCTTGTCAGTCGACATTCTTTGGCTGACAGGATCATGTGATGTGAGAAAGACCTGAAGAGATACTGCTTAAGGAATGGACTCTCCCTAACTTCTCAGACTGTAAAGGAGATGGCAGGAGATTTGTACTTTCAGACATGCAAGGTTTTGTTAATACAGTATAGTTTTACAATAAAGTAGAATTAGCTCATCTGGTAATCTTTCCTGCCTGGTTTACCTGGGAAGGTTGACAATGGATAAAATAATATTGAATCAGACATCAGCCAACTTTTCCAGTTAAGGAAGGAGTCTTTTGGCCAGATTCAGGCACTAATACCTCTCTAACTTCCCTAACCCATGCTCTCAAAATGCTTTAACCTTGGCAACTATGACTTCCCAAATGTCTAGATCATCAAGAAGTTGTAGCCTATTGCATCAGGAGAGTATCGGGTCAGAAAAGGCTATCAACTCATTGATTCAGCTAGCTGAGTGGTTCTCAACTTGTGGTCCTGGATCACTGGAGGTCCTCAATGTCATCACAGGGTGTACGTGAAGGCTTGAAGAAATGTTATGATCCAAATATTGAGTTAAGTCTTGGGGGTCTATGGCCATGGAATATGGCCACACAAGAAGGAGGGGTCTGTGGTGAAGAAAAGGCGGAGAACCACTGATCAAGCCTATTATATAGCAGACTATGCTACTTGGCAGCAGTGTAAGACTATTTTTTATTCAAAATGCAAACAAGCAATAGAGGGTAATACAGAGATACAGAAAACTCTCTTTCCTGCCATCTAAGGATCATTCTGATTATTTCAGCCTAGATCTGGAAGCCCTCGGTATAGACCTAATTAGAGATGTCAAGAATCGCACTCAGAATTTTTTGCATAAATGAATAAATGAAGCAGCTCAATTGGATAATCCCAGATTCAAGTTATACACTTCCAGACATCAGTTCCATTGAAGAGACTCACCGGTTTCGCCGGTGACCTGATTTTTTTTTCTTTTTTTTCTTTGGTGGTGGAGAGGTGGAGCTACTAGACTGTCTCTTCAGCCTAAGAAAGAAGTAAATAGAAGACACTCGAGTCATTTCTTTAATGATTTCTCACAGGAGAAGAGAAGATATGTCTGAATCAGAGGTGGTATTCAGCAGGTTCTGACCAGTTCTGGAGAACTGGTAGCAGAAATTTTGAGTAGTTCGGAGAACCAGCAAATGCCACCTCTGACTGGAGATTTTACAGTATCCTTCCGCTGTCATGCCCACCAAGCCATGCCCACAGAACCGGTAGTAAAAAAATTTGAATCCCACCACTGGTCTGAATCTGAACATAAGTAGTACCACTAATGACTAAATCCTCGTCTTTACAACCACCAATTCATTTCTTGGCACGCTTATTGGTTTTATTTTCATTTGCAAATCTATCACCTTATGCGATCCTTTCCCCATACTACAACTGCAATTGCAGGGCTCAATTATGGTTGTAACTTGAGGACTAGATGGTAAGTCAATGTACGATGACTGAATCAAGACAAAAGGGAGCTCCAGCAATCCCAGAAGAGTAAAAAGAGAGTTCTTAAAAATTTTAAGAGCAAAGACAAAAATGATAATACCTGTTTTATAATAAACCTTAGATACATAATATGAAAACAGCTGCATAAGCAGAAAAGGCATTTCCTGATTTTAGAAAGATATGTTTGCAATGATTGAAAAGATGTTTTTATTTGTGAGCCATGGTGGTGCAGTGGTTAGAATGCAGTATTATAAGCTAACTCTGCCCATGGTCAAGAGTTCAATCCTGACCGGCTCAAGGTTGATTCAGCCTTCCATCCTTCCAAGGTCCGTAAAATGAGGACCTAGATTGTTGGGGGCAATATGCTGCCTCTGAAAACTGTGAGAGAGTGCTATAAAGCACTAAGGCACATTATATAAGACCAGTCTAAATAATATTGCGATTGCTATCTTTGCCACTATTATTTCAAGCCAGAGGAGATGCTTGTACATTTGAAGTCCCTCAATGATGGTATTAAGCTACATATAGGAAAGGTCTTCCCTCACAGGACTCCTTAGCATTTGTCCCCCTGCCTTCACTTATGGAATAGTCTCTCGAAAGAGGTACATATTATAATTAGTGTTAGCATTTATCGTTTCAAAGTTTCATGTATATAAAAACTTAATTTTTCATTTCTACTTCTTGTTTGCTGCTGCAAATGACGCATCAGAAGGGAAGCAAAAGATAATTGTTTAACATACACATGCCTGTAGGGTCGGGGTTGGGGATGGGGGTGTTTGTGTATCTGTGGGTGTCAGTGACAATAGCATTTTATTTATTTTTTATTAATTTTTATCAATTGCTTACAAGATAATAGGTATAAGTAAAAACATAGTTATGAATACATGGATACATATAAGAAAAATAAAAAAAAACAAAAGTAACAAATAAATAAATAAATAAAAGTGGGTCCCTTTACAGGGAGTACAGATATGATGACTTCATTTATTTCACAAAAAGGGCCTTGTGTGCCTATTTCTTCATATCACCATGAGGGATAAATCAGGAGATGACCTGAATTAAATGGAAAGCTCAGAATTGTCAGGGCCTTTTCCATACAGAATTAACTGCCGGGTAAAATTATTGGTCCTTAAAATTGCTGAATGCAGAATCCTAGAATTATACATTGGATTCGTGAAACACTCTACAGTACATCCTGAATTGGAAAGGAAAACTAAACACAAATAGTCTTCACAGCAATCTAGGCTTTTTTCACCACACCCTGCAGACATCTCTGATGAATTCATCAGTCTGCAATAATGAAAAGAAGTCCTACATAATCAATATAGAAAGTAGATGTAAACTAGGCTGTGGCTTGAAGTTATCTTTTTGGTTACATTTGTACAATTTGTTCCCCATTCAAGTTCTCTGGCATTGGCAGCCTGCCCCCAAAGCATAGCAGAGATGTATAAATATTATCCCTTTTAGCTGAGTACAACATGTGGACCTGACCTGGTTAAAAATCTAGCAGCCACATTTGCATGAATCTTCGTTTGTTTCTTTTGGGTCTTTGCATATTGTGCAAACCCAGCTTGTTTAGTTCATTTATGTTCAATGTTGTATAATCAGGTTATTCATAAAGTATGGAGCCACCTGCATAGTATGTAAATTAATGTGGCCTTTGGGGGATTAATCAGCCCATTGCAGTCTAGTCCCCTGAGTGCTGGCAACTTTGACACAGATCTGACAATAAAAAAAGATTCTTTGTTTTGGCCAGGGAGGAAGATTTTTCCATCCCAGTTTAAAATAAGCAGTGGTACTTTACCAGAGAGATGCATAAAAAAAGACACATCTGGGTATTCCGTGTATGAATAGACAGTGCAGAGAAAAAGGGTAAAATATGATTGAGAATTTAGAGGGTTTTATCTTGACACATGGGACATCTATTGTGGGGGAATAAAAAAAAATCAGGATGGCAGCTATAGTGTGCAGCAAGTGTCCAAATGAAGTCAGAGACACTGACAAGAACTTGTAGTTTTATATAAATAAATATATGCTACAGCAAACAAGATAATCAGGCTAAAAGGAGCATCATGAAGTAAATCATAGAGCATACAGGGAACACAGAAGAAAAAGGTGGGAAAAGGGGAAACTCCCCCTTCACACCCACAGCAACCAATCAGAGTGCAGATTGCCTCATGCAAGAGCCATCATTCTCCAATCAATCAACTATAACGGTGTCCTGGCTCCCTGTACAACCCACTGCTCCTGCTACTAAATTTAAATATCTTAACATATAGTCATATGAAGACCATCAATGTGGCATCAATGCATATAGAAAAGGGATGAGGCATTAGCTGCCTGCCATCTTGATTTTTTTTTTACATTTCCCCTCTATGGGCATTCCCAGTGCGATTTTACTTCAAATACATCCAACTCCTTTAACCTTTCATCCCAGAAAATAAATAACTGGCAAAACTGGTCACATGGAATTGCATAGAAGTCTGGCCCCGAACAAGGGCAAGGAGATAAATAAGAAATTTTATCACTTCCAAAATTACCAAAAACTTTTGTCTTCCAAAATCAAAAATCCGAAATGACAGCTGAAATCTAAGCTTTTATCTTAGCTAGAATTGTGATGTCATTGGTGGATATGGGGGCTTATCCTAAGAACAGTAGAAGAATCTGAGATTTCTCTACCAGTATTTGCTGTAATAAGATTTTCTGCATTTGTCAGGAAGTTAGTATTTCATTTCAAAATTTCACTGAAAAAAACCTCTTTTCCTAGGCATTAGAAAATTGGCCCAGCTGCTCCATCTGTTTCCTTGACTTGCTCATTTTAACATCTAAATAACCATTTGTTCATGGCATGGAATTTTTTTTGTTTTTTTTTAAATCTATTTGGAAGTTATTATTTAGCAGATGAAAATCCATAGTTCCGTTTGAAATGAACCAACAGTAAAGCTCTTATCTCTAAGATTAAGCTTCATGTAATAAAAGAGCTGTGATTAAATTTCATAGAATACTAAAATCTTGCTAGAAAATCAGTGCACCTAACTCCCAAAAGAGTTTCCCTTGCAGCCGCAGCTGATATCTGTGACACTCACCTGTATTCTTGGTGACTGCTGTCATACTGGTAACAGTCAGCTGCACAGTCACACTGCAATGGGCAACCTTCTTCATACTCTGCATATTGTATGGCATATTCTTCTCCATCTACCATATGATGATTTTCTATCACTCTGTCCAAGAAAAAAAAGAGGAAAACAATCCTTCAGAGTAGTGGTGGGATTCACATTTTTTTAACTACTGGTTCTGTGAGTGTGGCTTGGTGGGCGTGGCAGGGGAAGGATACTGTAAAATCTCCCATTCTCTCCCCATCCCACTAACCTGCTTTCCAGCTCCATTCTCCTGAGCAGGGCAACCAAAGAAGACTCAGCTGATCAGCTGGGACTCAGGAGGCAGAGAATAGATGGGGGCAGGGCCAGTCAGAGGTGGGATTTGCCAGTTCTCTGAACTACTCAAAATTTCCGCTACCAGTTCTCCAGAACTGGTCAGAACCTGCTGAATACCACCTCTGCTTCAGAGCTTACCTTATCGTAGTATTATGGGGAAAGCCCCTTTGTGAATATGATTTTATTCATGCTTGTACCAGGATTCTTTGTGTGTTTGACTGCACATTGTAAAACAGCAGAGAAAACAACTCTCATTATTACTATAGGCCACAATCACATTTAAACTTCTTTTCTGTAATGTTTTGTTAGTATGTGTGTATCTGTGTATATATGGATGATATAGCTATACATACACGTATCCATTCTAATTATAAGGAGAAATGGAGTGACTGAGCAAAATTTCAATTTTCAGCAAATTTGCAGGGGTTAATACATTCCTAGTTCAGATTAACTCCACAAATACAGATAATCCTCAACTTACAATCACAATTGAGACCAAAATTTATGTTGCTAAGTGAGACAGTTGTTAGGTGAATTTTGCCCCATTTCTTCCCCATTTCTGTGAATCACTACAGTTAAGTTAGTAACATGGTTGTCAAGTGAACCTGGCTTCCTTATTGACTTTGCTTGTGAGAAGTTTGCAGAAGATGATCACATAATCCCAGGACAAAGACTGAATTTTGATCATGTGACTGTGGGGATGCTGCAGTGGTCATAAGCATGAAAAACAATCATAAGTGATTTTTTTCAGTGCCTTTGTAACTTTGAATGGTCACTAAATAAACTGTTGTAAGTCGAACACTATCTGTACTTATAAGGCTGTCCGCCCCATTATTACACTTTTGTGTTGAGTGGTGTTTCTAAAATGCTTTTGAAAAGTTGCTTTAAAGTAAGTTTTTGAATAAATTATATTTCAAAATCTACTTAGGTATGTGCATGTTGTCTAAAGCAGTGGTCGCTAACCGGTGGGCCGTGAGAAAATTTTGGTGGTCCACAGAGAAATGTCACCCCCAAAGCACCCCACAAAGCAATTAATCCAGGTTGTGTGGGAATACAAGCCTTGTGTTGCTTGCATTGCAAACAACTCAAGATAGTGAGGGGAGGGGGGAAAGGGAGGAGGGCGGAACTTGCCCAACTTACCCCACACGCCTCACCTGGCCACAGGGCTGCTTCTTTCTGCTTCTGCTTTGGGTTGCACGCAAGGAAAGCGGCAAAAGTCTTTCTTTCCCCCAAACTCCAACAGGAATGAGTCTTTGGAACCCTGCAAGCCATCCTGCTCCAAGAGGCTGTGCCATTCTAGTGGAGTTTTGGGGAGAGAAAGAAAGACTTCTGCTGCTTCTGCTGCTTTCCTTGCATGAAGCCCAAAGTCTCTCTCTCTCTCCCCCTGAGAATGGAGCTGGAAATGGTATCCTGCGATCCCAAATAAAGAATGATCGATCAGTAGGAAAATGGGGTGGGGGATTTTCCTGCATAATTTTGGGGATATTCCCAGGGTCTCTGCTGCTTCTGCTTTTTCTGCAAAGACCCTGGGAAAAGCCCCCAAAAAGTCTGCAGGAAAATCCCCCATCCCGTTTTCCTACCGATCAATTGTTCTTTATTTGGGATCGCAGGTAATGTGTCTCTCTCTCTCTCTTTCCCCCTGAGAACGGAGCTGAAAAGCAGGTTAGGAATGTGGCTGCCATGGAGGGGGTGGGGGTATGAGGGACATGTGTGTATGTGTGTGTGTGTGTGAGAGAGAGAGAGATAAAGAGAGAGAGAGAGAGAGAGAGAGAACATTACTGCCAGCCCTCCGAGATTAGATCAGATCCCCCCCCTCTCTCTCCCCCTCCCTCCCTCTCTCTCCCTCCAATGTCAGTAAGCCACCTCAAAATTCATATTAGTGGTTCGCGGGATTTAAAATTATGAGTTTGGTGGTCCCTGAGATCCAAAAGGTTGGCGACCCCTGGTCTAAAGATATGTTTTAAAACACAGATAGTTCTCGAGTTACAACCACAATTGAGCTCAACATTTCTGTTTTTAACTGAGATATAATAACAACATTTCTGTTGTTAAGTGAATCTGGCTTCCCCATTGACTTTGCTTGTCAGAATATATGAACTAGTTGCCAAGCAATTGAATTTGAATTTTGATCACATGATCATAGGATGCTACAAAGGTTGTAACTGTGAAAAATTGTTGTTAGTCACTTTTTTCAGTAATGTTGTAATTTTGAATGATCACTAAACAATTTTCTATGTCAAGGATTATCTGTATTTTAATGCATCTGAGTATTATATCATAAAATATGGGGAAAGGCTTCACCCAAAGGATAATTCTAATGTCAACTCACATTGAAATTTATAAAATTTAAAAATGCACAAATATTAAATTGAGCAATTTTTACATAAAAAGTGTAGGAATATATATCTAATAATATTACCACTACTTTGGAACAATCAGCTTGAATAATCTCTTTTGTGTCCCAATTGAAGTTTGCCTTAATGAAAGTGATATTTGTTGTATTTAGCATATGCAGTTTCTGCAGAACTCTGCCAAATAGAATGGTCAGCCATAAAAATCCCCCATCAATTTTTAATATCTGGAGAAAGACTGAAGAAGAGGCAGACAGTCCATTTGGTCTTATATTTCTTACTAGAGTGAAATATATTAAATTGCTATTTTAAGCTACTATAATTCATTCTAAATTTGCACATATAAATTAGCATCTTAATATAAATTAGCATACACTAATCTTATTCAAAGACCAGCATTGTCCAAAGACCTCCTGTGTCAGCATGCAGTTGCCTGGAGCTCTCTGCTATCATGTCACATTTACAACCAGCCTGACATATTGTTCTTTCTAGATGACCCTGACAGTACAGGCAGTGTAGAAAACAGGGACAGCTACTGAGCTGGTAAGAGCAGGGTGAAAAGGCTGGGAGAAAGAGAAATGAAATCTAATGGTTAGCAGACGAATATGAATTCTAAGACAGCCTTTTCAAGACAGCTCAGGGCAAGACGCTTGATGGGATCAGAAGCGAGGAGAAATCTCAAGATCCACTGAAAGAAAGAAAGTATTGTCATAGCCAAATCTAGACAGATAACTTGGGGGAAAGACAGATAACTTGGGGGAAGAAAAAAAAAACCTAGAATAATATCTTATCTTTAAGAGATTGATTGATTGATTGATTGATTGATTGATTATATGCCATTTTCATTTTCTACCACATAGAATTTCCCCAGGAAGATCTATGATAATCTATAACAGAATAATAGAATAACAGCATTGAAAGGGACCCTGGAGATAACAGATAATCAGAGTTGGAAGGGACCTTGTAGGTCATCTAGTCACACCCCCCCCCCCAAGTGGGAGACCCTACACCATTTCTGACAAATGGCAGTCCAATCTCCTCATGAAAGTCTCAAGCGATGGTGCTCCCACAACTTTCGAACGGAAGCTGTTCCACTGGTTAATTGTTCTCTCTGTTAGGAAATTTTTCTTTAATTCCAGGTTGGTTCTCTCCTTGATTAGTTTCCATCCATTGTTTCTTGCCTTCTGGTAATTTGGAAAATAGGTTGACCCCCTCTTCTTTGTGGCAGCCCCACAAATATTGGAACACTGCTATCATGTCACCCTCTAGTCCTTTTTTGTTTTTTACAAGACTAGCCATATCCAATTCTTGCAACTGTATTTCATGTTTTAGCCTCCAGATCCCTAATCATCTTGGTTACTCTTCTCTGTACTTTTTCAGAGTCTCCGCATATTTTTTATAATATGGTGATCAAAACCGGATGCAATATTCTAAGTGTGCTCTTACTAAAACTTTATAATTGGTACTATCCTACTTATCTCTAAATAGGGAGCGGGAAAGGTATGTAAAAGTGGAAGAGTTCTCATTTAGTGAAGAAAATTCTAAGACTGAAAACTTTACTTTGCTAGTAGAAGGGTATTTTAGCCCAAGAATTTTTGGCATATACCAGTCAAGTTAGTTGACTTTCCTTTGCATTATGGATTTATTGACACTTCCTGGGTATTTCAGAATTTGGTTGCTGAGCTAAATTGTAACACTGCTTAAAATGAACCTTACCTTGTTTTGCTACATTAATAAGAGAATAATCATAACAATGATTTGGGTGCTGCATCTTGGATCAAATCCACAACTGCCAAAGCCCTCATGACATCTCTGTAAGTACTATTTATAATCCAGATGACATTTTAAATCTGGGAATTTGGCTGTGGTTTCCTCAATTATTTTTTGGATTAAGTAGAATGGGAAGAGGAGTCCCTTTAATTGTGTTTATTTATTAAAAATTAACCCATGCTTTGTCAATAAAGAGTAAATTATTTACTGAGAGCTCTCTATCTTTACAATACAAAAAGTATTGAATCAGCATGCAAGCAATGCCTCCTCACCAAACAAGAAATCCATCATGGACAAAAATAAGAGAAAATCACTATAATAACATTTGGAAATGTCACCCCCTCTGCCTTTGTCTCTGCTTTTTCAGAAAAAGCGTGTAATTACAATATTATAGCTGACTAATGTTTTAGGTGGAACTCTCCAGTCTTCCCTTGGAAAGATGTCAGGAGGGGAAAATTGCAGGAAGAGTAATACAGCCCAGCAGATACTGCCTGGGAGACATTAATCTCTGCTGTTCAAGAAGCTTAACCCGATTATAAGCCAAGTGAATAATTGGCTGTTGTAAGGGAAATGAACCCCAGGATGTTTGAGGGAGCAATATTAGTGGGCTGGAGAAACAAAAAAAAGGGAACATAGCTTTTGGGTGGGTTAAAAAGCTTACTCATA